ACAGGTGTCTACCAGCCAGAGGACCCGTGGGAGGTGAGAGAACGGCTAGCTTGAAGAAATATTTGCGACTGCACCTCCAGCTCTGTGTCATGTCGTTGAGGCACCAGATCCAAACATGCAATCTTAATCCAAAACAGCTAGCTTGAATTGAGATCTCCTGTCCATCAGCCCATTCCATTGCACGCTTCAATGCCAGGAATGGTTCCTTCGCCCCAAGCTCCATGATGCTCAGCTCAAACTATGCGGTTCTTTCTCCACACCACACTTCTTACGATTCAGGCAGGATGATGATTGTTTCGTGTCGTCATGAACAAATGCGAGGCACTGGATCACATGTTGTCTTGCATCTACCGCCGGAGATCCTTACCTTGAAGTGTGTCATTAATTGCTCTTCAAAAAACAGCTCTGCAACTATTAGGGGATCGCTGCGCTCGCGCTCTGTTTCCCCATCTGTCCTGCTGAGGATGCAACGTGAGAATGCATCATGGATTTGTTGCTGAGGATGGAATGGCTTGGCTGAAACGACCCTTGTCCCAAACAAAGTTGTTTAGCTCCAAGAAATACACCGCTGAATGTGAAAACTGGTCAGTGTTCATGATGAAAGGAACTATTGATCCCTTAGATGTTGAATATTCTGTTGAGTTTTCTTTGCTGAGGGTCTTGGATAAATACATTGAGAACATCCTCCAGCAAACGAGCCCGTGCTGTTCTTCGCTGTAGCAAGCTGAGGCCAGCTTGAACGATTCCATGAAGTGTTTTTGTTCACATCGATCGATCGATATATCCACACTGTATTGATCTGTTGTATACATTGTAGCCGAGCCAGGATTTGGACGTCGCACTTGAAGATCAAGAAGTCACTTTGGCTGCATTTAACATTTCCTGGCATGCAGCCATCGTCAGCCATCAACACCTTCCCATGATGTGTGATCTCCTGAGGTTTAACTTGGAAGTGGTGTGCGTGGGGTCTGGGGGGGGGTCCTTGCGAACAAAGACTCTTATATTAACGGCTTTTGTTTCAAATGCTGTTGGCGGAGTAGGGTATAAATTGGCCACCGTCCGCGATCTCATGCCTTTTCCCCGGGGTCGGCGGCAGGGGGCGGAGCCCTTACAATTTAAAGCATGTGATCAGACACTATGTGATCAGACACGGGCTGCCAGATTGCAGGGCTGGACATCTGCCGGATTTGAAAAAGCGTTCCGTTCGTCTTGGCACTTGCAGTCGCAATCGCAGCGACACGTTGCCACCGCGGCACGTTCTTGTAGGTCATCGCCAGTTGACCCAGGTCCTGCACGGTGAAAGGTGCCCGGGTCGGTGTTTGTTTGTCTCACAGAAGTTGTTTGCAGGAATGTCACAGTGTCCAGAAAAAAGAAAGGAACTTCTAAAAACATGTCCAATGATACCCCTTCAGAAGGCCACTTCAGGCCATGATACCATCTTATAAGGGAGCTTTGGAACCCCTATGTCGGAAAGATACGGGTCCCACCTGAGACGTGGCACCACCTCTCACCAGTCTCTCCACCGGTCTCTCCGCCCACACCGGGTGTCGAACAACGTGCCTTCTTCTGCGTGAGCTTGCCGCCCTCGGCGAACTTGGCCATGGCGCCCTTGGGCGTGGCCTTTGAGGCCTGACCTCCGGTGTTGCTGTACATCTCCTGGGCAGGACGACTCTGGGCGACTCGGGCGGAAGTGAACGACGCGGGTCCGGCGTTCGGCCAGAGCGGAAGGTGTGTCACCAGGTGTGTCAGGTGTGTGTCAGGTGTGGGGAGGGCAGGGGAGGGAGTGAGCATCGAGGGGTGGTGAGTTCGGTTCAGAGAGCTTACAAAAGGCTCCAAAGCCGAAGACGACCATGTTGACGTGTCCAGACCAGACAAGTCACTGTGTCCAGCACCAAGATGTTCACGTGCTCCTGGAAAGCTCAAAGCCAGCATCAAGGCTTTTAAATGCTTTTAAGATCTCTTGAGGACTCTTGACCAATGAAATGGCTTTCCACCGACCAAGCTGTGCTCCTTTGTGAAAAGACATCAAATGCCTATAGAGCGTCCCATCCCACACCGCTCTCCGCCCCGGCCCTCGTCTGGCGCCTCAGAGGCGATGACGTGGTCCAGGCCGCCGTAGCCAATGTCGTAGGCCCAGCCATCGCCACCGACGATCCAGAAGCTGCTGCGGCCGAACATGTCCTCCCTGAGCGGGCGCTTGTTCGAGGACCGACGGCGAGGACGAGGACGTGCGGTGCTCGTTCAGCGACGTCCACGAAGGGGACGCCGACGCCGGCATGCGTTGCGGTGGTAGTGCGCTGTAGGGGTGACCATCAGTTTCGCCCGTCGGTTTTCGGTCCATGTATAGTTTTGGAGGCAAGTTCAACAAGGCTTCTCAAAGCACAGGTGCCAAGCTTGGTCGATGTTGGATTGGGCCAGTCAAATCTTAGATTGAATCAGGTGAGAGGCTTGGCCAAGCTGAAACGAATTCTCAATCCGCCTGAAAGCTTGGTCAAACCTTTCTGACAGCAAACCTGGCTGTCCTCCAAACCAGGGCATTGTCTAACCTTCGTCTAATAACCACCAAGGTCACCAGATAGTTGATTGGCAGGCTGTCTCAGGTGTTCATTGACCCCTGACCAAGGGAGACCCTAAACACTAACACTGGACTTGCCTGCAAACACCCGGAGTCCACCAAACAGCATTGTTCATCACTCAATAGCTCCCAGGTTCTCCGTCTCACGCAGCCTGAGGCGCTGCCCCCACCCACTCAACCGGGCAGCAGTTCATAGAGCTGCTTGATCTTGGCATGAGAACCCTTCTCCTGGCAGTTGAGAATTGGTTTGCGTCGAGAACATGTCACTTGAAGACCAATTGAAAAAGAACACCAAACACAGAGAGAGGAATGCTCCAAGAACGGTTTTACATGGTTTTGCTTCTCTTCTTCAAAACGATTTCAAGTGTGTCTTTTCTTCGCCCCTCCGCCTTCTCCAACAGGGGCACCAGCTTCTCCATGATCTGGTGGTAGATACTCCGACCGCGCGGCAACAGCAGATCGTGCATGTTCTCCTTTGGCGCGCGAAGCGCCGACCACCGACCGGAACCAAGGATCTGGTGTGGTCCGATGCTGTAAAAATCGAAGCAGCTTGGAACTGAATAGCTCCGCCGTTGGTGGTGGCAAAAGAAAACCGAAGCCTGATGGGTTGTTTGGGAAATGAACTCGCAAGGTTCATGTTGAAAGGCTCATGGAATACTCTGATGTCATGAAGGTTCTCCTTATGTCCTTGGGGATTTTCAAATTTCCCACACGAAGAACGCTTTTCGGGTAGCAAAGAGCAAAGGTACTGATGCAGCGTACCATGTCCCGATCCAAAGCGTGTAATCAAACACAAGTCAGGCTCTAAAAAAACTCCACCACGTCTCTTCAATGTTCCACACCCTGCACCAAACAGTACCACATGGGAGCTAAACCAGCTTGATAAACCCGCATCCATCTGCATATATGCAAACACCAGACCAACACAGACTCGCTCATCCTCGCTCCGTCCCCTCCTTGCGCATCACCAGGTATTGTTGCAAGGCTGTTCGAAGGTCGTCACTCATCGTCACCTCCTTGTCTCCTAGCGCATCCTGTGCGAAGCCGCTGGGCGAAGCCGCTGGGACGCTGGGACTTGGCCGTTGCGAATTCACAGGGCTTAGGGCCTAGAAGGAGGGTCCTTGAGTCAAATGATTGATACAGGTTTGGCCGAGAAAAAAGAACGTTGGAAAGTACACCTACTACGTTACAGCGTTCCCATAGTTTCTGATTGTATCTACTCCAGGATGGTGGTAAACATCGAGGCTGAGTAGTTCGAGCTCAACTGATGCAGAATGAAACTGCAGCCTCCAGACTCCGGAGCCCGTGCTTTCCATGAAAGATCATCAGTTCACCCTGACATCAGCCTTCCTCCAGGGACTGTGAATCTCAACGGAAGAGGAGCCAGACATAATCCACAATCGCCCAAAATCCCAGCGATGAAGTTTCAGGCAACTCAGGCGTTCACACACAGAGAGCAGAGAGGGGCAAGGAGTTCAAATAAACGGATCGCAGGATTGACAAACCCTAAAGTATCCACATCCACCAACCAGTCCATGTGATTCGCCTAGACATCCTAGACTCACTCCGAGACTGTCTAGGAGTCGGGTGCGTCCTCATATAGGGACGAACGCAACTTACGGTCACCGTTGGTTCAAATGAATCCTCAGATAGAGTCCTGCCAAGTACCTGACGTCATTGAAGGCAACCAAGAGGGCAGTACATACCTGTTACATGGCTGTGTCCACAGCCATTCATCAACCCTTAACCCATCCCAACCATCCACGTTCACCCAATTCTGTTCTTCAAACCATCGAAGCGTTGTCCGGGTCCACGTCGCCTCGACTTGGTTGGCCAAGTAATCGCGTCGCTGCTTGAAGGCCTGAGGCGGGGAGAAGGCGGTTGCTTGACGGAGTCGTCCTTTAAAGGAAGGAACGGAATGAAACGACAAGAGATTGAGATATCCTCCATTCAACAAGCATGGAAGAGGGAACACGGTCCCTGGGAAGACTTGTTTTCCTCTACGAACAGGCCATGTTCCACTTCCATGATTGTTTAAGGGAGGGTACAAAGTTCATACTTGTATGAACCAAGGAACCAGAGGTATCGGAACCAGAGTCATACGAAGAGTTTTTTCCTTGAACTTGGATGAAGTTGTTTTTTCCTGCTACCTCCGGGTACCCGAGGTTTGGTATCCAGGTGCACAAACAAGTAGCGACGAGGTTGATCTCCATCTAACGGATTTAGAGCTTTCAGAGGAGGTGACTTGGAGAGTGTCCAAAGTCAAAGTGTTGAAACCGACTGAAACCTCGTACCACCTGCCTTGGAACCCCCTAGACACAACCAGAGAGTGTTTCCTTCAACAGCCTTTTTTGTGCTCGGCCCCTGAGTCCGTCCTTGCCCGTTTTCGGTGAATAGCTGAATAGCTGTCTTCCATTGTCTGTGGATACTTTGGGATGCATCTACATGACCATGACCTTTCCAGAAGGAGCAAACCATCAATCAGCACTTCTCACCCAATACAAGTCAGGGAATCAACACAGCCATGGAATTGGGGCAAAGGAAATCTGCAACGGCACTAGAATACCATAAAGTGAGGAGGTTCAAAAGATCAAGTCTTCCTCTGCCTGCGACCGGCCTTTCGCATGCCGAAGCCGAACTCCGCATTGTCCTCGAAGAGGCTGTTGGCCCAGGCGGGGCCTCCACACGGTCCGTGCCACGGCGCCTGGTAAGCTGGTACTGCCTAAATCATTTCGAAGGACTTCGCTGACTTTTGGATACAATGTCTCTAGATACAAGTGTCTCCAGCCAAAAAACTAACCTAACTAACTCTACTCCCGGATACAATGTCCCTAATATGTATAAGTCATAACTACTTCGCCATCTCACCGCCGGTCTCAAACCTCGCCTTCGCCCTTGGCATTCACGGTGTAGGGGAACGAGGGGTTGGACCCGCCCCAAATCGAGGAGCAGCCGGTGGCGTTGGCGATCACCAAGCGCTCTCCAAACAGCTGCGTCATCAGCTTCACATGCGGCGTCTCGCCACAACCCTCACAGGCGCCGCCTGGGCGGGCCCACAACAGAGGAGGGGGGGTGGAATCCAGGGCAAAGCGAAGCAGAATAAACCCTGGGTAGCGGTGGCCTGGGGATGCAGAATCACCCCCAAGCTTACAGCTAATACACGATCTTACAGCACTGGACCAACTAACTATTTCCAGATGGTTTCTGTGAGGTGGAGATCTCGTTCGACGGTCCTTGCGACACCAGGCGACTGAACTCCAGGTAAGGTTTCTGGAACTGGGAGCCCTTCACCGTCGTCTTGTCGATCTCATCTCCACGGTCTGGCAAGGTCACAGCGAAGTTCCAATTCGCCTCCTCCTCCTGCCAGCTGCGTGTCAGCATCAAGATGCGTGTGGGGGGAAGGGATGGTCTCCGGTCCAGGGCAGGAGAGGACATGTTGGCTGGTCACTGGTCGGGTGTCGGGTGTACTTTGAATTGCCAGTATGGCAGGACAATCGAGATGTTATTCAATCCTAGAACATCCTAGAACTACTCTTTATCAAAACTTGGCACATGACTTTCAAGCCAAATGAATCCAAAAAGTGCTTCAGCTCATAGTATCTAACAGTATCTAACAGTATCGTGAGCTGCTTGTGGCCCTAACAAAGGGCCATGCACGACATTTCACGACAGCTCGAGCAGCGATTCTACCCACAGTTGAAGAAAGAGCTTCAGACCCTGCCAAGGATAAGAGTCACGGACCTCACAAAACAAGTTTCCTACTGGACATGAGGGAAGTAGCTGGAGGAAGTAGCTTCGATCGATCTGTGTCGCAAGCCAAAGAAGACTTTTTGGACAGGACCCTCGCGATCACGTCAAAAATGGGGCACCCCCAACGAAAGTCGATCTGTGTCGGTGGGAGGAACCAAAATCACCATCGAAACGATCAAAACTCACATCGCACTCCACCTCTCCACTCTCCTCCCCCTCTCCGGTCACCGCACCGGTCTCACCGAAGGTCGCCGATCGCCGAACGAACGCCGATCCGTTCCGCGCGAATGCGGACGCCTCGATGACCTTCCCGGCATCGGCCAACTTCAAGGCATCCGCCGGGCAAATGCGAACGCACAGCTCACAGCCGGTGCAGTCCCAAGGCGACACCTGACCCGGTGCAGTCTGAAGTCCTGACGTTCTGAGAAGGGAAAAGAGGTTAAGGGAGGTGTCACCTTCAACCTGGCGCTTCCTGGCGCTCATTCTGTGTCACTTCATCCAACCGTGAAAGAGGCGTTTTGGTCTCAAAACAGGAGGCCGTCCGGTCAGGCAACTGGACCCCACTGACTGAGCCCCTCTTGTGCATGGAAAGTCCACCCCATTCAGAGGCAGGCTCACAAGGACTCTTCAATGTTTGGTTGCGGGGTGATGAGGAGTCTACTCTCTCACAGGGTTTGGGCACAGTTGCTTGGGTTTGTGTGCCTTTCCCAATTTTGCCCACAGGCTCACTGTGTGTGAATTCCAACTTTCCCTCACCTGCCGCCCAGGTGTGTCTGCGAAGGACTTCGCATCCCCACTTCAACAGCTCCGAAGAACGCTCCGAGCTCCCAGCTCCAAACGCCAGGCTCCAAGGCGCCTGGATTCGGTACTGGTAGTTGTCCAGCACTCCGCCGCCGATGGCCGCGCGGCTGCCCTCCTTGAAGTCCTGGACTCGTGCAAAGCACAGTGCTTCACGCCGAGGTGTTTCACTCGGTCGAAAGGGTTTCGGAAACAACATGTGAGTGAAAACAACGTTCTCGAATTCTCGACATGAAAAAGCAGGTGAGTGTCGCATCTGTTTTCGCTTTCTTCTTCGATTCGCTTCGCTTTCTTCTTCGCGACGGGTTGTGACTTCAGATGACTTCAGACTCTCCGACCCACGTCGCTCAGCAGCTTTGCAAACGCACCTTATTGGACCAGACCTTTTATCATACCTCGTATTGTAATGTATTGTATATGAGTCGATGCAAAACAAAAAACAAGTGTCCCAAAAGTGACAGTCATTGACTGTATACTGTATACGAGTCAATGCAATCTTGTTGATGTTGAGTAAAGTTCCTAAAAAGACACGCAAACGTTTCATCACTGCACCGTCTCAGTAAAGAGTTGTGGTCCTTGGGTGCGGAGTTCAACTCCTGCTGAGTGAGCAGGAAGGGCCGCACCTGAGAGAAAAAAGTACTACAGGTCGCAGGTCCATGAATGGTCCAGAATCCAACCTAAATACCACGGGAAAATAAGTGGTCTTCCGTGCTTGAGATGGTGAAGGAGGTTGTCCAACAGTGCTGAATCTTGATTCAGGAACTGCAGGCTTTCGAAGACGGTAGGAAATTGAGTGACTGCTGGTCACTTGGCAAGCAAGGCATTCTTTGACTCGATTGGTTTAAACACCTTTCGAAAAGCTGAAGGCCCAAGCGACCCACTGACTGGCCACTGGCCACTCTGTTCCAGCGCCATTGATTCTAATCTTTCGGGCCCAGCGACCGCGGCGTGGGGGCAGATCAAGCTGCACTTGTTGCACTGGGTGCAAAGGTCCATGTCCACCTGAGCAACGAGACTTGAGCCCAGAAAGGAGCAGAGGCCCAGCAATCACAAAGGCATTCATCGATGCCTAACAGGCACTGGATGTTTAAGCAACACAAGTCTTGATTCCGTGGATTTGCTCTGCACTAGTGGTTTCCCTTTCCCCTCTTTACTGGGTTGCCACTCGGTTTGGTTTCTGTCATGCCTTGCCTTGGGTACGTTGATGGCGATACCGCGCTTCTCGTATTGGCTGGTGCCCAATGGCACTCTTCCGCCCGGCACAAAGGTGCTCACTGGCAGGGAGTTGCCGTCCTCAGTGCAGCGATGAAACCGGCGAGGTGATGGAACGATTGGAGTGGTTGGAGGGTCAAATGCCGTGCAGTTGGAGGAAGGTTATGTAAACTGGCTGAGAGGGCAGGGATTTGTTCGATGTCTTTGGATCCCTACATAAATATGTATATACATTATAATAGAGAGAGAGAGAGAGAGACACATTACATATCTTTACACTCCCTGAAACCATCATGGAAGTGGATGGCATGGCCCTTATGATTAGACAATTCTTCCCCAAAACCAGCCTTGTGGTGGTTGTTCCATGGTTTTCCATTTCACCATGCTGTTGAAGCAAGTGAAATGGAGCTCGGTGCCAGCGGAGCTACTGTCCGAGCTGAAATGAGCTGAATGGGGTGTTGGTCCGTGTACAGGGTGAATTGCTTTGCACCCGCCTTGTTTGGAGGTGCAAGAAGTATAGAACTACAGTTGAAAAAGGTCATAGTCAGATTTTGCAGGAACGCACCAAAATGTTCAAAGCATTAAAGGGGTACTAAAGTATACAAGTAGTTCCCGGGCAAGCCGGCGGCGGAAGTTTCCTATAAGAAGAAATTGACCTATAGGAGTGTCCACGTTCTCTCCAACATGCGCGTCCTCCAGTCAAACGCACGCGCTCCGGACTTTTGACCCACGGGATTCCACGTGTGTAAGGTGTGTGTGCCCCCTGCGAGAGATGACACACATCCGGCCACCACGACTTGCCAAGGATGCGGTCCACATCGACACACATCCCACCGTGGCATTCTTCAGTGGCGGCAAACCTTGCATATCACACATCGGACTGAATGGAATCCGAATTTGAATGTAAAATCTGTCTTGAACTCTGAGACTATGTATGATGAGTCTTGTATGATGAGGGGTGTATGACAAGTGATGAATGATGAGTGGTGTATGTTGAGTGGTGTATGACGAGTGGTGTATGATGAGTGGTGTATGCTGACTGGTGTATGATGAGTGGTGTCTTGACCAGCAGTTGAATGTCCTGTCCTGCATAACTGCAACCAAATACTATCAGTATGAACTGAACGTGCACGCCGCGAGAGATGACTCAGCAGCGAGAGATGACTCAGTCGCGAGAGATGACTCAGCCGCGAGAGATGGCTATAGCGAGAGCTGACTCAGCAGCGAGAGATGAATGAGCAGCGAGAGATGACTCCTCCGCGTACTACACTGTTCGCCAGTACAACTCTAGTTGTACTATGAAGTCGCCAGTCCTCAGCTTCTAGCTGCACAGATTGCTCCGCGTGCTGAAGTTGTACTACAAAGTCGCCAGTTCTCATCGTCCAGCTTGCCAGATACTCCGCGTGCTAAAGTTGTACTACAAAGTCGCCAGTTCTCAGCTTCCAGCTCTACAGATTGCTCCGCGTACTAAAGTTGTACTAGAAAGTCGCCAGTTCTCACCATCCAGCTCCACAGATACTCCGCGTACTAAAGTTGTACTACAAAGTCGCCAGTTCTCCTCGTCCAGCTCGCCAGATACTCCGCGTACTAAAGTTGTACTACGAAGTCGCCAGTTCTCAGCTTCCAGCTCTACAGATTGCTCCGCGTACTAAAGTTGTACTAGAAAGTCGCCAGTTCTCAGCTTCCAGCTCCACAGATACTCCGCGTACTAAAGTTGTACTACAAAGTTGCCAGTTCTCAGCTTCTAGCTGCACAGATTGCTCCGCGTACTAAAGTTGTACTAGAAAGTCGCCAGTTCTCAGCTTCCAGCTCCACAGAAACTCCGCGTACTAAAGTTGTACTACAAAGTCGCCAGTTCTCATCGTCCAGCTCGCCAGATACTCCGCGTACTAAAGTTGTACTACAAAGTCGCCAGTTCTCAGCTTCCAGCTCCCCAGATGCTGTGCCTGCCACGAAATCTGCACATGGAGGTTCACAAAGTGCTGCACCTGCCACGAAATCTGCACATGGAGGTTCACAAAGTG